GGGTCCGGGCTGGGGATTCGAACCCGCCACCTTAGGTGTACGTGGCTGGCGCCTTAGCCGGTTGAGCTATAGGTGCCGAGCCCACTCTGTCTCTTAAAAAAGAAAAAGAGAGAGAGAGACATGGGGTCTTGCACTCTTGCCTAGGCCAGAATACAGTGGCCTGATGATAGCTTCACAGGAGCTTTAAACTCCTGGTTCAAGGGATCCTCCTGCCTCAGCCTCCTGAGTAGCTGGGACTACAGATACACACCCCCATGCCTGGCTAATTTTTTAAATTTTTTATAAAGATGGGGTGTCATGTTACACACACTGGTACATAGCATCACTTGGCCTCTAGTGATGCTACCACCTTAGCCTCCTCATTGCTGGGATTATAGGTTTTAGCCACCACAGAGGCCCAGCTTCACCCTTCTAAACCTCTCAGTTGTCTCAACTGGCTAATCAATCACACAACTCCTTCCTTTTATGACTCCTGCACCTTTCTGCCAGCAGAATTCAAGAAATTCATGTCTGCTGGGATAATCTGGAAGATAGAATAGCTGATACAAGAGCCCTTGGACTTTTCGTTTATAGAAAAGCCTCAAAATCACAACCCTAACAGGATACAACAGAGACCTGCCGGAAGGGCCAGTCTAAAAAAAGCAAGAAGAGGACAAGGTAAAACCCTGGGAGAATATAGTAGGAAGAGAAAATGACCAGAATAACCAGACATCCTCAGGGTCAGGAGGAAGCACTTACGTGGGAGGGAACACAACTATGTGGGAAATGGGTTTGGGAACCTCAGGGAACAGAGAAAGAAGAGGTTTGAATGGTAACCATCAAGGGTTCTAATCATGATTAAGAGACCAAGTGAAATCTGGCTCAGAGGCCACTCCTCCATCAGAGGAAATCCTAAGTACAAAAAATATCCCAGGTTTAGTACCAACTGAGTGTTTAGAAAAAAGAACCCTGAGGTGAGGTACACAGCATTCACGTAAAATAAATATTTACTGCCTACCCACTTGTAATGAATACTCTTTGTTTACAAGTATCATCACCAAAACCTTACAGGGCGTAAAAAAAGGTTACAGTACTATACTCACTATTCAGAGAAAATGGCATAGAGAGGTGGTATCTCTTGCTGAAGATTACAGTTAAATAGACAGAGGTCCAAATGCAGGTCCATTTGACCCAGCTGTAATGCCCTCTCTCCCAAACCGCAGCTGCATTAGTAAATACTACACATTAAAAGAGGATCCAGAATGTAACTGCAGGCTCCATCTGTGAACAGATGCAACAGCACTAATTCTGAAGTTATTTTTTAATAAAATTAGAACTTACTGGTGGAGAAGCAAAACGACAGGATGGAGAGCTGCCACAGGAACTTGCAGAGACAGAGCCAGCGTACACAGGCACTGGTACTGGGCAAGCTGGTGGAGGAAACACAAAGAGCTATATGCTCTGCCTAATAGAAAAGCTTCATCTCTAAAACAAGAAACAGTGGCTCGTGCCGGCATCCCAGGTATTTGGGAATCTGAAGCAGGATAACTGCCTGAGGCCAGGAGTTCCAGACCAGCCTAGGTAATATAGTAAGATTCTTGTGTCTCTATTAAAATTTAAAAAAAAAAAAAAAAAAAAAGGAGGAGGAGGAGGGGAAGAAAAAGAAAAAACAAAAACCTCCCCAAACTGTATGATCAAAAATTTGAATTTACCGGTAAACACCATGGCTCACATACCTGTAATCCCAGCACTCTGGGAGGATCACTTGAGCTCCGGAGTTCAAGAGCAGCTGGACTAAAGCCTGACCCTGTCTCTAGTAACAACAGAAAATCTAGCCAGGTGTGGTGGCCAGTAAATTTGCATTTGCTTTTGACCTACACATTCTGGTGGGGAAAAAAATTATGAAAAATGCAGCAATTACTAAAACTGTTTCCTTTTTCTTTTCTTTCTTTCTTTTTTTTTTTTAGAGACAGAGTCTCACTTTATCACCCTTGGTAGAGTGCCACGGCATCATAGCTCACAGCAACCTCCAGCTCCTGGGTTTAGGTGATTCTCTTGCCTTAGCCTCCCAAGTAGCTGGGATAATAGGCGCCCAGCTATTTTTGGTTACAGTTTGCCTGTGGCTGGGTTCTGTATATGGGGCCAGCGCCCCACCCACTGAGCCACCGGGACCACCCTACTAAAACTATTTCAACTTCGATTTTTTTTTTTTTCTGAGACAGAGTCTCAAGCTGTCACCCTGGGTAGAGTGCTGTAGCGTCATAGCTCACAGCAACCTCCAACTCTTGTGCTTAAGCAATCCTCTTGCCTCAGTCTTTCTATTTCTAGTAGAGATGGAGTCTCACTGTTGCTCAGGCTGGTCTCAAACTCGTGAGCTCAAGCTCCTCGGCCCTCCTTGGCCTCCCAGAGTGCTAGGATTACAGACGTGAGCTACCTTGCCCAGCCTTTCAACTTAGATTTAGAAGGAAAATGGGCTGATATCAAACACAATAACAGGTATCTAAGAAATCTAGAAAAGCACAGTAAAAAAATAATTTTATAATATAAAATACTAATTTTTCCTTAGCACTCAATCCGTATTCTCTCCCCCAGTCCCTGGCCATCATCCACCATGTTCTGTCTATCTGCATTTACTGATTATGCACACTGTATACAAATGGAACCAAACAATTAAAAAAAATACTAATTTTTCTTAAGTTTGCATTTATCTATTATTTAACTTATTTATTTACTAAAGAATCTCACTCTGCTGCTCCAGGCTAGAGTGCCATGGCCTCAGCCTAGCTCACAGCAACCTCAAGCAATCCTCTTGCCTCAACCTCCCTGAGTAAGCTGGGACTACCGGTGCCCACCATAACATTTGGTTAGTTTTTCTATTTTTACTGGAGACAGGGTCTCACCCTTGCCCAGGCTTGTCTGGAGCTCCTGAGCTCAGGTGATCTATCTGCCTCAGCCTCCCAGAGTGCTAGGATTAATAGGTATGAGCCACCACACCTGGCTTTACATTTATTCTTTAAATAAAAATTCAAAAAATGGGTACTCACATTTTTTTACTGGAACTTGCTCAAGGAAAGGATGGCTAAAAAATGTCTCTGTAATGAAAAATGAGAATGCAATCTTTAAACAGACACTAATAAGTTGATCTTCTCAATGCATTCAACATAATACCTTTGAGATCACAAGGAATTATTAACTTCTTTCTACACCTTCTGCTTCCTTTCAGTGTAAAAGCAAATTCTTTCTTATAAATATCTATAAAATTGATTATAATTTCTAATAAAAAATTTTAATAATTGTAAATTTTAAAAACATTTATCACCAACACAGTACACTCTGAGGCTATTTATATAGACATACTCTCTATTGTGGGACACTCTTATGTAGACAGCCCCACATAAAAACTGACCACCAGCCCCTGCTAAGCACATATTTTAACTATGGTTATTGTTTTTTTTTTTTTTTTTT